CTGACGCGTCTGCCTCCGCGACCCGAAAGGAGAAGCGGCGATGGAAGATGAAGATGAAGATGAAGATAAATGCAGCCAGCTATTATAAATCACATGTATACCATCATTACAGTACTACACATATCCAAATACGCAGATATGGTGCAAAAATGCTACACGACGCACCTGCATGTCTATAAGTATTATGGCTACCTCCCTAATTGTCTTTCACATAGCTATCACTAGTTTTAAGTACTTCAGTAGATAGTTCAAGCAGTGGTAAAACGGTAAGAGGTCGGCTTCGAACTCTGGAAATGCCGGGTTCAAATCTTGAAAATGAAAAAATGCTCTTACTCGCTAATACAGTTAAGTAAGGAATTCACTCTATGTTGCTTCAATGGAACCAGCCGAAAAACGCATAACAACTCACTGACTTACAAACAATGAGAACAGCATTGTTTTTTTTGAGTGGTCATTCCAGAATGGGTCAGAGGTATGGCAATGGTGTCTAAAGCGAACGTCTCTTACTGCTGCAATTTGCCTTAACCCACCTGATGGCTGATTATGCTATTTGATAATTGGCTCAAGGTGCAAACACCGTTTCTCGGAGTTCAAAGATTCATGGCTCAATCTCAGCCTGGTCAATCACTGATCATCCTTTCGCAGCAGATAAACCAGAACCGTCCTGCTGGAAGAAGGCAGAAAACTACCTGCAAGCTGTATACTGAGCCTGAAAACTACAACAGGTGTTCATTCAGTTGCTCATTTCCATAACCAGATATTCCTGGTGGATAATGGGCCAGCAGCGTCTAAAAGCTTTACCAATAGCTTTAATCTAGATAAACTGGAGAAACCTCAAGGAAGTAAATTGTGAGTCGCAACAAGGAAGTATTCAATATATCTTAAGCATTTCACCATAGATCCGTTTTGGCCAGCTATCATGCAATTTGATGAAGATGGTCTTCATTACGGATCTGTCCTCTGACATACTGACAAAGTGACAAACTAACGCAACCATGATTTGTACATTTAAAGAAGGATCGGTGCATAAAGGAGGGGGTGTCATATAGCTTTTTAAGAATCTTGTCGGTCAAAATCGAAACTTCATTTTCATCAGCAGTCGCCGTGTCTTCTGTAACTGCAATGTGTTGCGTTCAAAAAAAACTTGTAACCGTTGTGGTGAAGTTCGATTAAAAACGGTGGTGCGAATGCTATTTACAATGAAAATTTAAGGCAGATTTCATTTAATTGGCATTTCAATCATTTTATTTCTTTCCACTTACTCATGGAGCGTCTCTCCAGCGTTGAGCAGACTATGCGTCAATTCTGAACCATCTTAAGCAAGGGCCATGATTCTTGACTCAAGCATTACAGGTGCAAAATACCATGACCCAGCACCGGGATGGTGTGACCTCGACCTGTGAATAAGGAGAATTGAACAAAAAATCGTTACTCATATAAACAGCATCGAAAACTAGCACTTTTCAGTAAACCCTAATACCGAGATTAAATTTTCTTACTCCATTTTAATTTGAGCACTGTGTGCAAAGAATGCAATCAACTATATGATGGATGAAGA